AGCTCATACCAGTCCTGAAACTGTGTCCCTCACAATCAACCAAGTGAAGTCAGACAAGCAAAACCTTGTTAGAATACTGTCCCAAGTGGCAGGTCTGTCCCTAAGGAGGGAGTAGATGCAAACCAGAAGCTGGTTGAGGTGTCAAAGAGCCGCAAGGTCCTGAAGAAGCAGCAATGTGATCAACATTCCTGACACCAATGCCACTGTTCTCCAGAGAAGCCGGGCCATTGTCTTGGCTCCACAGCACACAAAGGGTCAAACCTCACAGATCTGTGTCGAGGGGAAAAACACCACAGGTCAAAGTGTTCAGATTACGCCCAAGAAAAGCTCTTTGCAGAAAGACAGCAAATCCCCAGTCAGTTGAAAGGACAAACTTTCTTCACCTCAGAGACACTGCAATGAAATAACCGGTTAAACATGGTTTGGATTTACGGAACACGAAAACAACTGGATTAAAGTATAATCTGGCTTGAAAGGAAATGTACCAAGAAAGCTAAGTAATGATGAGGGCACAGCGTTTCCCTCTGCCAAGCAGGAATGGCCATTCCAGTATACAACATCTCAGACCAATCCTGAGACCACTCCCCTTGCTTCAGATTGTCAACGAGAAAACACTCTCAAATGGAGGCTCTGTCCTTAAGGCTGGAGCTCATGTGTACGCATCCTGGCCAAACTGTCCAGTGCACCTGTTTTAAGAGGCAGCGCCTGCCTGCTGCATGGCACAGGTGCAGGCTTGAGGGTCACTGAGATTAGGGTTTCACTTTCTGCTGGCTTCGTGAACTTTGTCAAAGTAAAATTTGTCCCAGCTTTTCTCTTGGCAAAATGAGGAGTCTAAAAGTTCTGCTCTCTACACTACCCATTGGCACTTTGATGTTGCCTACCTTCTCACAAGAGCACTTATTAACTAGGGACTTCTAATTGATAATCCTAAACACCTGTGACATACCTCTCTGGTTTTGACTGGTTTATCTCTTCAGACTTTTTTTGCTAAACATGCACTGGGTAATACAAACATAAGAAAGGCCATAAGAGGGAAAATGTATGGCAATCTGGCCAGAGCTGGATTGTTTGTGCTATTTTGTTTGTTTTACCTGTTGGAGGCTTCACCTTTCTGTGGTGTCTTTGTTCCTGCCTCTGTATTTTAGCTTTACCTATTTATTTCCCCTCAGAGAAGGGCTGTCGGTTATAACCACTGTGCTTATACCAGAGCCTCACTGGTAAGTGAACGGTGCGGGGAAGTGGACACCATATGTCCAGATGAGATCTCGGTATTTACTGTGTTTCTGCCATACACAAATGTATCTCCAAGGTTATGTGGATTTAGGTCTGTGGCCCTTACTCCCTTCCCTGGCTGCAGCATTTCCTATTTATTTCTAACCCTTGTTGATAGGAAGGAGGCTGATGATGGTGGTGCTGGGGGGGGGGGCGAGCTGTGGTACTGGAGGGAAAAAGCACTTATCCCTACTTGGTAAAAGGTCCTGAAAATCTTACATTGAACGCCAGGGAAAGAAAGGATATCTGGCTATTATTTCTTGATTATTCAGTTTTATTTTGCTCTGTATCTTTGCTGTATCTGGTGGGTTCCTAAAGGTCCATCTTCAGACCTCCTGTCACTTCTGTAGAAGTACAATCTCCAGGGATTTCTTAGTCTGTCAGTTCATACTTAGCCCCTAGCAAGCCATCTGCATTCTCTTCTGAAAAAGCATACACAAACAAAAAAACCCACACAATTTATTTGCGTGTGGCAGTATACGTGTGGGGATCAGAGGACAATCTGGGGGAACTCAGTTCTCCGTTTCTACCACAGGAGTCCGTGGGGTTGAACTCAAGTAACCATGCTGAGCCATCTGAGTCTGTTCTTAACCAGGTTGTAGCTCCCTGACATAGCAGCTGCCTCTCTTAGATGACGATCCTGGAAGACACTGGGGGAATAGTTTGCTCTGTAACCGAAATTCTGAGTGGTCCAAGGAAGGGCTGATTTGGTCCAGCTTCTTGTTTTGGGGTGTGTGTGTTGGAGATCAAGCCAAGGGTCTTCCTCAGAGCCGCCCCCTCTCAGGTTCTTCTGTTTGGAGGAGTGCCAACCTCAGACTCCTCAGAAGCAGCACACCTGACTCTGAATGGCCACTCTGTCCCTCCGCTTGAAACCCGTGTCCCTTTCCTGTCCTCACATTTGCTGTGAGTCTGACCTCTCTTGCCCACATCGTCATTGAGTTCATGGGACCATTTCCACCCTCAGCACTGACTCTGACAGTGAAGGCAGTTCTAAATGCCCTTTTGGGATTGTGAAATCGGCTCCTAGCCTCCAGACCAAGGGCATATTTCTGTGAGTTCAGAATAGAAACTGCTTACTATACATTAATAAAAATAATTTCTCAAGGTCTGATAATACTTTTTCTTAATTTCCTGATTTTAAAGATGAAGTTGGCCAAATATGGTTCAGATATGGCCATCATCATAGGCCCTGTCAGGGGAGTGCCCAACCTATCTGAGGACTTCCTGGGAAGTTAAAAGAGGCCCCTGGCTCAGTTTTACAGAGTAACAGATATTTAATTACTTGAAGCCAAACTTAAATCCAAACCCCATACACTCATGTCTTCACTCATGTTTAGCTACCACTGTGCCTTCCGCACCGTGGCAGACAGATGACCTCTGGAAACCCAGACTTTCATGCTGCCAACAACTGCATGGAAAGCCAGGGTTCTTGTCCACAGAACAAAGTAACTACTGAGTTACTTTCACCAGCCAGGAGTTCACTTCCTGACGTCTCCCCTGACCTCCCACCTAACCCCAAAACCCTCAATAACCACACCAACAGTTGGTGACACATACTCAAAACATAAGCCCCACCAGGGACATTTGAAACCAGTCCCCAAGCCCCCTGTGAGTCATTAAAGGCCCTGCTGGTATGGACTACAGCAGGCAGAAGTGGACGGACACAAGGCCTTACGTTCCTTAGTCACCTGTCCCAGGCTCTACACACTATGTGTACCACCATGCCTGGCTACAGTTTGAATTTTTAATCTCAAATTCAGCCTGTATGTTTAGGTGTAAACATGGTCAGAGGGCAACAGACGGTAGTGGGCTCTCTTCTTCTCCATGTCGGTCCCAAGCATCAAACTCATACCCTCAGGCTTGGCAGCAAGCACCTTTACTTGATGAGCCATTATGAGAGCCCCCTTCTAGTTTGATTAGCAAAAATGGACAGCCTTGATGGTATCACTCTGGCTCACTGGAATCAAATTTGTTGCTTTTTGTGTTAGCATCTGTGTATGGGTGCACTGAGCATGTGCACACTAATATGGAGACCCAAAGTCAAAGCTGGGGCCTTCTTTGACTACTCTCATTCATATATATGGCATGCATGCTGGGATTACAGGCGGTGACTCGCCACCTGGAATTTATATGGGTTCTCGGAATATGAACTCCAGTCCTTATGCTTGGGTAACAAGCACTTTACCCCCTTCCCAGTTGCCTTTTCTTCCCCCCAAGACAGGGTTTCTCTGTATTGCTTTGGAGCCTGTCCTGGAACTCACTCTGTAGACCAAGTTGGCCTCGAACTCACAGAAATCCGCCTGCGTCTGCCTCACCAGTGCTGGGATAAAGGTGTGCACCACTACTGCCTGGCTCTTTTCTACCTTTTTAAAAGATAATTTGCTTTTATTTTAAATCCTGTGTCTCTGAGGCTCTGAGAGGTTATTCACTTGAGTGCAGCAATCCTTGAAGGTCAGAAGAGGGTCCTGGATCGCCTGGAGCTGGGGTTCCAGGCCATCAGTGAGCTGCTGGATATGCATGCTGGGAACTGGATCAGGGTTCTTTGCAAGAGCAGAAATGTTAACCACAGAACCATCTCTGTACCTACACAGTACACACCTTTCTTCTATTACTGAAACAGTTTTGCTATGTAGTCCAAATTAACTCCAGCACTCAATATAATCCTCTTGCCTCTGCTTCCTGAATGCTGGGTTTACAGGTGCTGACCACGCCTGGCTGCTTCATACCATCTTGTAGTGGTTCAAACAACTGGTTTTATGAAATTTTAAAAGTGTTCTGACCAACAAGAGGCCATTTACTGAAGCTGTGACTTCATCACATCTGTAGTTTGCTTGTGGATATCCTAGTTCGACAAAGACTGAAGCTAGTTTCTTCTCATATTGTCTCAAGTTTGAGTGTGTTGGTACATGCCTGTGATTCCAGCATTTGGGAGGCTGAGGCAGGAGGATTATAGTTTGAGGTCAGTCTCCAGAAAAGATGCCTTGGGTTGGAGGATAGCCTTTCCTCTTCCAGGAACTTAACACCCAATCACAATGGGGCCCCAGACCACCTGATGTGCAAATGTGTAGACTAAAACTACATTCCAGTCACTAAGTCTGGTCAAAACACATACATTTTCTGGTCTTGTCGTTTATGTAAGTCAGACCGCCAAGGCCGTGCTCCTCTCTCCTCAAAGGAGAAGTGTGCCACTAGCACAAGCCAAATTACAGAGAGCATGCACCTGCCACTTAGCACTCTCGATAAGTTCCCTGGGGAACAACCGCTGACAAACAGGAGGCCATACTATCTTAAAAGGCCTTTAGAGAATGACTTCTCAAACACAGCCCTTCCCAACAGCAGTAAGCCTGAGGAATGCTGCTCAGTGCATCCATCCCCTTGCTGTTGTTTAAGAAAACACCCCATTCAAAGGGTGCTGGCACATTGGATATCACCCCCATTTAAAGAGGAGTGGGGTTACGGGAAGGAGAAGTATATAATTAGCACATAATCCCTCTCAGTGAGGGAGCTGAGTACAAAGCCATGGGGAAAGGACAGGCTCTGCAGGCCATGCAATCAGTGCACACCAGAAATGCATTTCAACTTTTATTTGAAAACAACTTAAATTTTTAGACAAATGATTTTAGTATATAAATTTGATTTTGTTTTTATACAGAATATAAAGATTTCCCTCATTAATCTTCCATGTGAAGGAAATTACAGGCCAGAAGAAAGACACTCTGCACACAAAGTACACCACATATGTGTGGCACTGAAGACAAATGGTGTCGTGCACCTTTAATCCTGCGCAGAAATGAGGACCATGTGGTGACATCACACACTAACGGGAAGGAGAAATACTCTAGTCAGTCAGACTCAAGAAGCAAACATGACACAGAAACTGCAAATAAGACCAAGTCAGCAACTTTAGTTAGAACAGCGCAGGTCTATGGGGCTTGTGAGGCTATAGTGTGTACACAGACACAGCAAGGAAGAGCGAGTGAGAGAGGCTCAACGAGGGAGTTTTCACTAAAGCAAATGAACTTCTTGTCAACTGCCAAAAGAAAAGGAAATGAAAGGGAGGGAGCGTTGAGTGTTAGTATACCCAGGGCATGTTAGGCCAGTGTCTGTGCAGCATGCTACGTTAGTTACAACTTCTTCATTGGTGTGGATCAATTGTTAATGGTCTCGTGTTTGCCTCTTCTTTCCAAACTCAGGCATGTCTTATTTTAGATGGAGTATAGCTTTTATCTATTATTTCATCCTGTAAAAACATGTGAAGACAACGTTCATTCTGGGCCAGAGGATGACCAGCGACCCTGGGAATAAAAAATACAAATTTTAGTCCTGTGTTTATTAAAGATGGTGTAGGAGGGGTCAAAACAAACACATTTTAAGGTTAGGAAATATGTACGATTTGTAAGTTATTATTCCAAACTACCCCATAAAACTATAACAGTCTTTTCCTTTGGTCCATAAAGTGATTTAAAAAAGAGATTTATTTATTTATTATGTACACAGTGTTCTGCCCGCATGTATGTCTGCAGGCCAGAAGAGGGTACTAGATTTCACTACACATGGTTGTGAGCCACCATGTGGTTGCTGGGAATTGAACTCAGGACCTTTGCAAGAGCAGGCAGTGCTCTTAATCACTGAGCCATCTCTCCAGCCTCATAAAGTGATTTTAAAAGTATTTTAGAGGTGCTTTAGGCCAAGTCTGATGACCTGGGTTCAATCCCCAGAACCCCACATGGTAGAAGGGAAGAAATGACGCCGCAAATTACCTTTTAACCTTCACATATGCACTGAGATGGGAACACACAAACACACAAGTAAACATAACTCTTAAAACTTTGTAGTGTTTCTGAAACATGTATCCAATTAGTTTTTCAATTAGTTGGTACATGCCTAAGAAACTTGTATTTTATCATTACACATGAAATAGTTCACTGGAAAGATGCAGGACCCAAACCAGCATGCTACCCCATGCCTGTAATCCCAGTACATGGGAGGCTAAGCAAGGAGGCTCTTAGCTTGGGCAAATATAAGAAGATAAAGTAAAAATATGACAGGATATGTTTTAATTAGAAATACAGGAAACTCAATAGTAAACAAACACTAACAAACAAACAGAAATGTTCAGGTTTTTGCTTTTCTCTTTTTTCTGTCCTTTTCTCACCTCTAAGTTTTCCTCTGTAACTGGCAATCCAACCTGTATTCAGTGCAAGTTTAGCCTTGCCTTTTAAAAGAGAATGCTCACAAAAAGGGAGCTGCAGGAGTGTGGTGGTGAAAGCTTGTCATCTCATCATCTTGTGGAGAGTGCAAGGTCAGCCTGGGTTACATGGTGAGACCTGAGCTATACAGTGAGACCAGTGTGCTACAGTAGGTTAACTTCTGTTCACCACTCAGTTACCAAACCATCAGTTAAAATGGATGTGTGTGCTCACAGAGCAGCATCTGCTAAGACCTGGCTAATTATGACAGAACCACTGATACATAATCACAGTGGACAGTGGCATGCCTGCAGTCTCAGCTACTCAAAGAAGGCCTGGAGGACTGCCACAGCCCAGGTCAGGGACAACAATGAGCAGTGCCTGAGCATTGGTCTGTCCATCTGTTTGTCTGCCTCACTCCTTTCCCTCCTTCATCCTTCTCCCTGAAGCCCCAGCTGGGCTTGACCCTACAATACTTCTGCTCAGCTTCCCAAGTGCTGGGCCACATCTTTTAAAAGCAAGAGCCAGGCAGGTAGTGGTGGTGCAGGCCTTTAATCCCATCACTTAAAAGCAGACACAGGTGGATCTCTGAGTTTGAGGCCAGCCTGGTCTACAGAGCAAATTCCAGGATAGCCAGGGACACAGAGAGAAACCTTGTCTCAAATAAAACAAAAACAAAGAAACAAATAGAAAAGAATATTGGGTCAAGTTGGTGGTGCACTCATTTAATCCCAGCACTCGGGAGGCAGAGGCAGGCAGATCTCTCTGATTTCGAGGCCAGCCTGGTCTCCAGAGCGAGTGCCAGGATAGGCTCCAAAGCTACACAGAGAAACCCTGTCTCGAAAAACCAAAAAAAAAAAAAGAAAAAAATATTGGTTTGAGCTTATCAACAGTTGCTAAAAGACAAACAATCTTAAATTTTCTTACATTTTTCAAAAGAAAACATTTTGCCATGAAAAAAAATTTTGATGTATACTTTTACATAAAACATGCTGATAATATTGCTACTTGCAATCAAAAAAATGATTGCAAATGTATTGTACATTTTATTATTCACATGAGAACATACCTTAAATCAAAATCACGAGTAAAACTATTTTCTGAATGATGCAATTTTAAATGTAATTTGCATAAATTATCCAAGAACAACAAATATAAAACACAGGTCAACACAAAATCCCTCACTTCAACCACTCCAGAGTGTCAGCATTTGCCACATGGTGTTCAACTTGGAGATACTTGTGCTTGGTTTAAATAGTACAAAGTCAACAAAGTCAGGAAATGGCCAGAAGCAAAGTCAGTGAGCACAGATCTAACAACAAGTAGTTGAAGAGACAGCTCAGCAGTCAAGAGCATTGACTGCTCTTGTAGAAGACCTGGGTTCCATTCCCAGTATGCATGGGAAACAGACACACATGCAGGCAAAGCATCCAAACACACAAAACACCAAATAGATAAGTAAGTAAGTAAATAAATAGCAGCTAGTTGTCATGGAATGTCTCAAAATGCTGCTGTCACCGTTCCCTGGGGATGGCAAGTACTTACTTGTTTATAAACTGTTCCAGCCCTTGCTTCCTTTCCTCGATGAAATTGTCGTCAAATATTCCATCGTCTCCTCTAAAAGGAAGCTGCCTCAAAAACGCCTTCCCAGGGAGTGGGGGAACTACAACCTGAAACAATACCAGCACAGTGAATCCTTGCTGATGACAGCCCAGGGCATTCTTAGTGAGAGGAGGGGAGAAAGCCAAACCCACAAGCTGTCTTCTGACCTCCACACATGCAGTGTGGCACTCACGGACTGTCTGTCTGTCTGTCTCTCTCTCTCTCACACACACACACACCCTCTCCCTCTTTCTCTCTCTGAATAAATAAAATAAAAAGGAAATTTTATGAGGCTGGGAGATGGATCAGCAGTTAGGAGCACTGGCTATTCTTCTAGAGGACCCAGGTTCAAGTCTCAGTACCCACATGGCAGCTCAAACTGCCTGTAACACCAGTTCCAGGTGATTTGACATCCATAGCAAAACACCAATGCATAATTTTTTTTAAAGGAAAATTTATAAACG